CATTTTTAATTGAACATTTATTGTTTTCCCTTTTAATTGAAAACCGTTCCCTTTCGCTGAAAGTACCCTGTGGTTTCTTATCTTATTTTTCATTGGTTCTCAAGTTTATTCGATCTTCCCCATTCAAACTGCTCCACCCTGTGATCCAGTTTGATGGTTCTCCAACAGAGTTCGCTAGTTACATGTAGTCAAATTCTTAATTGAACATTTATTGTTTTCCCTTTTAATTGAAAACCGTTCCCTTTCGCTGAAAGTACCCTGTGGTTTCTTATCTTATTTTTCATTGGTTCTCAAGTTTATTCGATCTTCCCCATTCAAACTGCTCCACCCTGTGATCCAGTTTGATGGTTCTCCAACAGAGTTCGCTAGTTACATGTAGTCAAATTTTTAATTGAACATTTATTGTTTTCCCTTTTAATTGAAAACCGTTCCCTTTCGCTGAAAGTACCCTGTGGTTTCTTATCTTATTTTTCATTGGTTCTCAAGTTTATTCGATCTTTCCCATTCAAACTGCTCCACCCTGTGATCCAGTTTGATGGTTCTCCAACAGAGTTCGCTAGTTACATGTAGTCAAATTTTTAATTGAACATTTATTGTTTTCCCTTTTAATTGAAAACCGTTCCCTTTCGCTGAAAGTACCCTGTGGTTTCTTATCTTATTTTTCATTGGTTCTCAAGTTTATTCGATCTTCCCCATTCAAACTGCTCCACCCTGTGATCCAGTTTGATGGTTCTCCAACAGAGTTCGCTAGTTACATGTAGTCAAATTTTTAATTGAACATTTATTGTTTTCCCTTTTAATTGAAAACCGTTCCCTTTCGCTGAAAGTACCCTGTGGTTTCTTATCTTATTTTTCATTGGTTCTCAAGTTTATTCGATCTTCCCCATTCAAACTGCTCCACCCTGTGATCCAGTTTGATGGTTCTCCAACAGAGTTCGCTAGTTACATGTAGTCAAATTCTTAATTGAACATTTATTGTTTTCCCTTTTAATTGAAAACCGTTCCCTTTCGCTGAAAGTACCCTGTGGTTTCTTATCTTATTTTTCATTGGTTCTCAAGTTTATTCGATCTTCCCCATTCAAACTGCTCCACCCTGTGATCCAGTTTGATGGTTCTCCAACAGAGTTCGCTAGTTACATGTAGTCAAATTCTTAATTGAACATTTATTGTTTTCCCTTTTAATTGAAAACCGTTCCCTTTCGCTGAAAGTACCCTGTGGTTTCTTATCTTATTTTTCATTGGTTCTCAAGTTTATTCGATCTTCCCCATTCAAACTGCTCCACCCTGTGATCCAGTTTGATGGTTCTCCAACAGAGTTCGCTAGTTACATGTAGTCAAATTTTTAATTGAACATTTATTGTTTTCCCTTTTAATTGAAAACCGTTCCCTTTCGCTGAAAGTACCCTGTGGTTTCTTATCTTATTTTTCATTGGTTCTCAAGTTTATTCGATCTTCCCCATTCAAACTGCTCCACCCTGTGATCCAGTTTGATGGTTCTCCAACAGAGTTCGCTAGTTACATGTAGTCAAATTCCTAATTGAACATTTATTGTTTTCCCTTTTAATTGAAAACCGTTCCCTTTCGCTGAAAGTACCCTGTGGTTTCTTATCTTATTTTTCATTGGTTCTCAAGTTTATTCGATCTTCCCCATTCAAACTGCTCCACCCTGTGATCCAGTTTGATGGTTCTCCAACAGAGTTCGCTAGTTACATGTAGTCAAATTTTTAATTGAACATTTACTGTTTTCCCTTTTAATTGAAAACCGTTCCCTTTCGCTGAAAGTACCCTGTGGTTTCTTATCTTATTTTTCATTGGTTCTCAAGTTTATTCGATCTTCCCCATTCAAACTGCTCCACCCTGTGATCCAGTTTGATGGTTCTCCAACAGAGTTCGCTAGTTACATGTGGTCAAATTCTTAATTGAACATTTATTGTTTTCCCTTTTAATTGAAAACCGTTCCCTTTCGCTGAAAGTACCCTGTGATTTCTTATCTTACTTTTCATTGGTTCTCAAGTTTATTCGATCTTCCCCATTCAAACTGCTCCACCCTGTGATCCAGTTTGATGGTTCTCCAACAGAGTTCGCTAGTTACATGTAGTCAAATTTTTAATTGAACATTTATTGTTTTCCCTTTTAATTGAAAACCGTTCCCTTTCGCTGAAAGTACCCTGTGGTTTCTTATCTTATTTTTCATTGGTTCTCAAGTTTATTCGATCTTCCCCATTCAAACTGCTCCACCCTGTGATCCAGTTTGATGGTTCTCCAACAGAGTTCGCTAGTTACATGTAGTCAAATTTTTAATTGAACATTTACTGTTTTCCCTTTTAATTGAAAACCGTTCCCTTTCGCTGAAAGTACCCTGTGGTTTCTTATCTTATTTTTCATTGGTTCTCAAGTTTATTCGATCTTCCCCATTCAAACTGCTCCACCCTGTGATCCAGTTTGATGGTTCTCCAACAGAGTTCGCTAGTTACATGATGTCAAATTCTTAATTGAACATTTATTGTTTTCCCTTTTAATTGAAAACCGTTCCCTTTCGCTGAAAGTACCCTGTGGTTTCTTATCTTATTTTTCATTGGTTCTCAAGTTTATTCGATCTTCCCCATTCAAACTGCTCCACCCTGTGATCCAGTTTGATGGTTCTCCAACAGAGTTCGCTAGTTACATGTAGTCAAATTTTTAATTGAACATTTACTGTTTTCCCTTTTAATTGAAAACCGTTCCCTTTCGCTGAAAGTACCCTGTGGTTTCTTATCTTATTTTTCATTGGTTCTCAAGTTTATTCGATCTTCCCCATTCAAACTGCTCCACCCTGTGATCCAGTTTGATGGTTCTCCAACAGAGTTAGCTAGTTACATGTGGTCAAATTCTTAATTGAACATTTATTGTTTTCCCTTTTAATTGAAAACCGTTCCCTTTTCTATTTACCTAATATGCTTTCTATTCTTATTTTTTAATAAGGGTGTGAAATGAACTAAACTATCCTTTATTAATTTAATAATGAAATAATTGAGTAATAACTCCTATCTTAAACTACCTGTATCTCCATTATAACCAAGCATTTGACTATCTTACAGTTAATATTTCACCCAAGTAATAACCCTTGATAATTATATTGTTATACAATTTGTTATTGTATCTTAAAAATCCAGCTCATGTAATTATTGCTTCGCTACACACACACATGCTTCGAATATACATAATTCTTTCCAGCGGTATTAGTTACCTGACATCTGAATTCGTTATAAAACGTGGGTATTCAGATGATTATACAACTCACTGTACATTATTCCCATATGACACGAGAGGCTTAATAAGTGATAAGCCTTTTGGGATTATCGCGCTTGGTGGCAATATTGTTCATTTGCCAATAAAAATCAATAAGGTATTGAAGTTTAGTTCGTTGTATAACCTTATGAATACCACTCGATGTTTCAGGATTACCTAATACTTTTACCTGACACTCAACGCGTTACCTGCGTAACTCCCTTGGGAGTTATGAAAATCCTTAACTCCCTTGGGAGTTAAGACCCTGTTTATGATTATCGTAACCAAGGTATTATATGGTTTTAATAGTTCAGTAGGATATAAAACCATTAATACACAAAAACAGATTTTTCTCGAAACCAGCTCATTTTTTTGATATCGAATAAGAGTACCTTTTTTCTAGTTCAAGGTTGAAACTATCTAAAAATATTATTGCTATGCCTATATCATACAGGGTGTAAAAAAAATTAGCATTATTGTGTTAAAGTTAGTCCGTCCCTGGCAAACTAGATTGGCCAAGTGTGTTTGAAAAGGTCTATTTTAAGGGGTCTTATCTAGTATCCATAATATTAAAAGAAAAAAAAATTACACGAAGTATTTTGAAAGTTATCAACAAAAAACCGATATTCAGAGACGTCCTTTAGGGGCACGTAACTTCGTAGGGGGGACCGTAGGATTTTTTTTTTTATAGGAAGTTGTCATGTTATTTTTTTATGTTCTATCTGAATCCGAGAGATTGCCCACATATTCTGGGACACCCTATATATTTGGGTTTACAGCAATAATAATCTTGAAGCTATAAAATTCGATACTTTTTTGGCTTTCAAGTGATTTTTACCCTCGAACAGATTAGGTTGTTCGCAGAACTCTACGAAAAAAGAGCTTGAACCGAGAATATGAATTTGCTACTGATTTTGTTACATCTCGAAAACTATTTGAGATAAATGATTCGATTTTGTTTTATCTTAAAGAACATTCAATGCTGATTAAGAATATAGAAATATGCATCGAATTTGTTCATGTCAAAAATTTCAAAAATTAATTTCTTGATTATCAAACAGTCAATTCGAGTCTTTAAAACTGTCACTAGAACTGGTTCTTTCATCAACGATTCAATTTTATCATTGATAAAGAAACCAGCACTTATTTATTTCAATTTATTAATTCTATTTTTTCTTTTCACAGTATGATCATTCATCCGGCTTGCCTCTATCCTAAAAAAAGGTAACTATTTCATCTGCATGCGTTTGATGTTGTATAATACCCTTTTGTAGGAATAATTCTACTTAAAAAATGACGAAAGTAGAACTATTACGTTTTAATATAGCTTCAATAAAAAATTTCCTAAAAATCTATACATTTTCTCCTTACAGCAAATAAATGTTTTATTTAAAAATTTAGCTTTGTAGCAGATTATATTAGAGCTTTATTATTTGTAAATAATTTAGTTATGGAAATAAGTAGCTTTCCAGGTAAACGGCTTATTGCATGGCATTTGTATGTTGATTTTGCATGAGTTCAAATTACCACTATTGTGTTTGATTCTACAACTATTATAACACACGTAATTTTCACTTTTTTTTTTATTTTAATCATTTCATTTGTTGGCACCAAAATGTTTAATATCACTTTCAATATTGTTTCACTATTAAACATACCACACACATTATTAATATCGTATATTTTATTTTTAATTTTATTTTCTAATTTTGTTTTTTCTTTTTCTTTTTCAGAAAAAAAAATTGGAAGAGGCACGTAATTATAGGAATAGAAAATCTCAGAAGCTTTTTGGATTTAGTTATAATTTAATTTAAAATAGTTTGGTTAGGGTTATTTAGTAACTATACATCAATCTGAAGTAATGGGTATACTAAGGCCCGATTAATTCATCTTCAAATATTCAGATAAAATTACCGTTCCATAATTCTATTGGTCGGCCGATAACTGGTTGACCAATGGGATTACACATTGCGTTCCAAAACCCTTTAAAATTACATACCTGAGAGTTGATCAGAAGGTGAATAAACTGGCCCTAAATCTTGAGAAAATATTATCTCTACAGTAAACTATAGGTCTTCTCCAAAGGCAAGAAACATTGGAACATGAATAAAAAGATTATTAGTATTATTATTATTTCAAGAGTTTATTTTCATTTTAATTGTAAAATGTAGGAAAAGAAGAGGAAACAAGCTGAAATCGAAAGGAAAAGGGCTGAAGTCCGTGCCCGTATGGAAGAAGCCTCCAAGGCTAAGAAGGCCAAGAAAGGTTTCATGACCCCCGAAAGAAAGAAGAAACTTAGGGTAAGAATTGCACCAAAAAAAAAAAAATACAAAAATTAATTATTTTTTCTTCAGTTGTTGTTGAGAAAGAAAGCCGCTGAAGAACTAAAGAAAGAACAAGAAAGGAAAGCCGCCGAAAGAAGGCGCATCATCGAAGAAAGATGTGGTAAACCAAAACTGATTGATGATGCCAATGAAGGTAAGCGTCTTGCCATTTAAATCAACCATTACCGATTAAATTATTCAATTCTAAATGTTATTTCCACGTTATCGATATAGAACAAATTAAGAGTTTATTGAAGCAATATCACCAAAGAATAAACGCACTAGAGGATGCCAAATTCGATTTGGAATACTTAGTTAGAAAGAAAGACTACGAGGTTAGAGAAGGATCCAGCAAATTTGCACGTTTATTATTGGTTGAACTGTCGCTATACTTTTCACTTTTGTTTTTCTTCATATAATATTTTTCAATTGGTTCAATTTAGTTTTGGACATTCATACAAAACTAAACAGACCAATCACAACAACAAAAAAGACATTTTAATATTAAACTCTTTGAACTGTATAATTTCATTTTTCAAGCATTCTAAATTGACCTTTTTTTTTAACCAACGAAAAATCTCAGCTTTTTTTTGCTTTTTTTTGAGATTTTTCTGTTTTTTTTTTTTGAGAATGCACGTTTATACAGTTTTCAGCGTTTTCAGGCACTATAAATTTATCTTTCTAACACAATATACCACAATTTTTTTCACGGTTAACATGGTACTACATTGCGGATCAAGATACAAGGTGTCTCAGAATTTATCTAACAATTTTTGCGTCGACACTTTACTTCCTAATCCTATAAATAAATATTTTTGCTTTGAAGTTCTATAAATGATTATTTTCTGGAAAATTAGAAAATGAGAATCATCAATATTTTTAATTTTCAAAAACCATTTTGGTTGATTTATGTCCAGTTAGATGTTGCCAAATTAATCTTCATAGAAGTACTACATAAATATCTTACTGGCGTTGTTGGATTTGTCATTATATTTCCAGGTAAAGTTGTAGTATTTCAGATATAAATTAGAAAAAAACTTTTTAAATCAAACTTCAATAAATAGGAAAAACAGCACTATTCATGAAATAAACGAGCAAGATACTTACATACAAAAACAACAAAACTTGCAAAGTTTGTGGGCACTTTCCAGAGTCTCTTCCAGTGGCGGCTCGTGACAATTTCAAGTGAGGAGGCTAAAAAATTACGAATTACGGTAAGGTAACCACTGCGCAGCAGACAACATTTGTTTTGGGGTGCTCATGCCCTCAATAATTTATCTCAAATTCAATAAAAACCATGAAAACCATATAAAGGAGTTTTATAGGATTTTGCCGGATTTTTTTTGTTCTAATTAAATTTTGTTAGATTTTTAAAGATTTTAAAAATTTTCAGTGATTTTAAGTAGATCTTACGAGTTTTTCTGGAATTTTGACCAATTTTATACAAATTTTCATCAATTAACCGCTCAAAGTTTAGTTAACTTCAGAAAATATGTACATAATTGAATCTTATGGCATTGATTTTGTGAGATTTTGAGGATTTTGAAAAAACTTCATGTGATTCTAAAAGATTTTAGATTTATGAGATTTTAGGTGATTTTAGATCATTTTAGGAAATTTAGAAACGGGTGTTATGGCGTTTTTATTAACTAATTTAGGAAAGCCCTAACGATAAATATTCCCTGGGAATTCTGCGAAAATTTTTGTTAATTCCATAGAAATTCCTCAGAATTTCACTAGAAGATTTTATGGAAATCCTTGAAATTCCATTCAAATGACAAATTTGAATAGAAAAACAGAAAATCCTAGAAATTTTATCATAAGATTTCATAATACTTTTCCGAATTTCACCATAAAATTCAATGGAATTCTTGTACAAAAATTCCTCGGAATTACAGTAAAAGATTTCATGGAAATTTTGACAGAAATTACTCAGAATTTCACTAAAATTTAATTCAAGTTTTCAGAATTTTTCGTGGTTCCATGGAAATTTCACGGAAAATTTTGTTTAATTTTTCGGCTTCGGTATAATTTCACTGGAATTCCACAATAAGATTTCAAGGAATTCCATGTAGGTGTAATTCTACGACTATTCCTTGGAATTTGTCCAACATCGAACACAATCCTCCAAATTCTTCATAAATTTTTCCTAATTTCCTATAAATTCCCAAGTTTCTAACAAAGAATTCCAAGGTGGTTTGCCTCTTGAAAAATACAGTCTCACACTTTCAAAGTTTTCCTGGAAAACTAATTAAGGGAAAAGTTGAAACTTTTTGCATATAAAGAGGAATATTAGAAGCTTATTTTCTCAAAATTTCAAATTTTTCCAGTGGAAAATAACAACATAAAGAATCTTGGAAATCAACCTACAATAACTGAATTATTTGAAAATACAGTCTCACACATTTCAACATTTTCTTGGAAAACTAGTAAACGGAAAAATTTGAAACTTTTTGCATGTGAAGACGAAAGTTAGAGACTCATTTTCCCATAATTTCAAATTTTTTCATTGGGAAATAGCAACATAAGGAATCTTGGAAATCAACTTACAAAAGTTGAAATAATTGTTAATACAGTCTCACGCAATTCAAAGTTTTCCTGGAAACCTCGAGGGAAAACTAATTAAGAGAAAATTTTGAAACTTTTTGCATGTAAAGACGAAAGTCAGAGGCTTATTTTCGCAAAATTTCAAATTTTTTTAATGGAAAATGACAACATGAAGAATCTTAGAAATCAACCTCCAATAAGTCCAATAAATGAATTAATTGAAAATACAGTCTCACACATTTTAAAGTTTTCCTGAAAAGCTAGTGAGGAAAAAAATTTGAAACTTTTTGCATGTGAGAAAAAAGGTAAAAGGCTCATTTTCCTAAAATTTCAAAGGACATGGCACTATTTAAGTGTAAGTTGGCCCTCTGCTGATTTTCCTGAAATTTTAATATGCTGTAGTCGACACCAAAATAAGACTTTTTTATCATTGCGCCAAAGTTCTAGGTCTACCAGAACTGCCAGAAAAGTAAGGCCAAAGTAATAAAAACGGACATAAAGAAATGCTGATATTAATGAATTATTATTCTAAATAAGTCAATGTTATATCTAGACAATAAATAATCAACTCAACTTTAAACAAGTATCATAACATTTTCACATATTATTAACTTTATATTTCCATTAGCTACGAGGTGTTTTCCATAAGTATTTCGAAAAATCACATTTTACGAGCACCATATATTATGTTATCTACGTAAAGTATGTGTATAATATGTATCTATATTATGTTTATCTAATCCTTTACGAACAAATAATTTTTGACAGTGGCGAAGAAAGGGGTGAGGACCAGGAAGCTCCACCCTCCCCCCAAAATTCCTCGAAATTCTAAACCAGGGCCCCAGAAAAGCATTTTTATCTATTTTATTAGCAGATATGAGAAAGTATGACAATATGGGTTGTAATAAAATTGTGTATGTCAATATAATATCCTAAAAAATGTTGTGGATACCAAAGAAATATAAAAAAGCTAATGATACATACCGAAAAACCTCGGAAAAAACCTACTACACATATAAACAAACATGGAAAGAAAAATGAAAAAAATATTTTATTATTCCCAAGTAGCATCATCTCGCTACTTTTTTAAAGTGAAGTACAGGGTGTCGACTTTAAAAAGTTGTAGAATCAAATCTATTTCATATAGAGTATAGACTATAGAGGGTACACAACTGTACACAACACGTATTTTGCTTTCCAGTTTTATATCTTTTAACATTTTTCTGTTCGTTTCCGAACTAAAACTTCCATGCTAATAGCAGTCTCGTTACCTTCTATTTCAATACATTTTTGAATTCTCTGGTCACAATTTGCGCATATTTTCGTATCTTCATTAATATTTGGATCTGGCAATCGGAATTTTGATCTGTGCAAGAGAGTTAATTAGGTTCTCTTTCGATTCAGATTTTCATCTTGTTGAAGAATTCGAACCAATCTACGCAAGTATCGTCCCATAACCACGTTACACACAAAACAGTTAACCATTTTGATAGGAATTATCATTAAATAGCAGAGCTGGGCAGTAGCTAGCTACCAAGTAGTTAAGCTACTAACTAGGCTACTTTTTTTGGTAGCTAATAACTTATTCAAGCTATTTTTTGAAAAAAGTAGCTTGTAGCTGTAGCTTATGGTAATGTGTTCCATGTATTCATAAGCTACTGTGAAAAGTAGCTAGCTACTAAAGCAAGCTACTTAAGCTATTTTTGGTAGTTGAAGTTACTTTCTTGCTTAAGCTACAATAATTATTTTTCCGGAAAAATCTTATCCTGTCTTATTATTTAGACTAGTTTCAACTTATCTCTGTACATGTCCTATGTCTTCTATTTAATTCTCGCATTCACAGATCACTGTAATCAAAGTGAACTTGATAAATGTCCAATGGTTTTTGACAAAAATAGGAATACTGCAGTTCCTAGAGAAAGTTGAAGTTTTATTTTTGTATGATGATATTATGATATAAAATTAAGTAAGGTACAGGGTGTTTTCTCATAATTTGACCCCTACCTTGTTAGGGGATGATTTTTCCTGGGCCAAAATAAAAGGAAATGAGCGTATTCGCCTCACAGAATAGCATACCTTCTTCAAGCCACTGTTTTCTATCCAATAGTTGTGACCACACTTTTCGTCAAACTTTTCATTCTTTCCAGAACCATCAAGTTAGAGGTTTAATAATGGAAATGATTTCCTTTTATTAGGGTTGAAATCCGATCAGATTGACTAGATTCACAGCGCTTCAAATAGGGTCAATGACCCGTACTAACTTAATTTGAAAAAGTCCCATGCCCCAACTGCCATCAAAATCCCCAGAACCCTTCACCTTGGAGTTTTGACAGAGCCTTTTTAAAGAACATTGCAGGGACAAGCAGAGGTCATTCAGGTCGAGGACTTTCCACGATTAAGTGTTCGGGAAAACTCCTCAGGCACTTTTTCCCGATTTCTGAGTTGCCAAGTTTTCGCTCATAGATCTAGGGTGGCTAATCCGTTATTTTAGCACCAAATCGCCTTGTGCGGATTTCTTTGTGAGCCGAAAAACAGCAACGTTATCAATTGTTTGTTCCTAAAGGCCAAAAAATTTTGGTAAGTGGTTTTTCTTATTAATCTTCTCTG